TATTGTTTATTATGTCATATTAGACGAAATGAGATAGATAGATAAGCTGTAGAGTTGATATTAGCGAAATTACTGAAGTACAGAATTCCACTGCAACGGATTAATTGCATTTCAATTAATTTAAATGAGGTAAATTGACTCTGCAAACGAGCAAATCCAGTTGCGAGCAAGGTCATGGAATGGATTAAACTCGCAAGTAGAGGTTCCACTGTATTTTGTTTTTTCGGTACTATTTTCTATTATTTAAAAAAAAAAAATTTCAAGTAGCTTTTATGGCCTGTGAGACCAATATGAGCACTATTTTGTAAGTTATTTCTTTTTCTTTACTACACAATAACTGCACAAACACTGTTGTCACTATATTGTTTACAAAACTTGTTTACACAAATGAAAAATATAAAATGTTGTTTATTACTATTTTTCTATATTTTATATACATATATAGTCACAGGGAATGTTTCTAGAAGTTCTGCAGCTTGTGGAAGTCTTTGAAACATGGTGTCATGCACAATGATGTATTACACTCCTCACACATAAAACGAGTGTCTCTGCATTGTTGTGGGCGTTTTGTTTTTTGTATGTGCACAGACATAACACCTTTTCTGAGCCTTTTTCTTGAAAGCAGTAGCAGGCAGTTTTGTTAGGAAGTGATCACCATGCTTCAGACGAGAAGGTAGTTGTTGATAACTTCGTGGGCAGTTTTCTATTGCAGGTGTTGTTCCTTGGTACTTGATTATTATTTGTCTGATGACAGACAAAATTTGCCATATGGTGGTTTGTTTCTGGTCCTCGTCTTATATATATTATAAGCATTGAGCATGGAAATGTCCAGAATATGGAAAGAGTTTTATGTACCACTTATAACTCTTGTGAACACAATCAGCAAACCCAATCTGCATGTCACATTTTTCCACTGAATGCATATTGAGGGTGTAGTCGGTCACAGCTGCAGGTTTTAGAATGGGTTCATTGCTTTCTCTATGCTGCCTGCCAGTGTCTGCCATTTCGTTAGGGCGAACTGATGACAACAGTGTGACATCTCGTTTGTCATGCCACCGAAATGCCATGATGTCATTGGCAGCAAATGCCTGCACCTCACCTCTACGAGTGCCAGCGTCGAACCTGGGCATATGTTTACGATTTGCACACACTGTGCCACACACATCTGACATGTTCACTCGCAAGAAATCACTGAGTAAGGGGCTTGTGTACCAGTTATCAGTATATAATATATGTCCCTTACCAAGATATAGTCCCATCACTGTTCTAACCACATCACCGGAGATACCCAGTACAGTGGACCCTCGCCTAAGGATATTAATTCGTTCCTGAGAGCTCATCGTTAGCTGAAATTATCATTAGCCGAAATTATCGTTAGCCGAATTAATTTTCCCATAAGAAATAATGGAAATCAAATTAATCCGTTCCTGACACCCCAAAGTATGAAAAGAAAAAAATTTACCACATCAAATATACATTTTTATATGCCCAAAAAAGAGGAAGACATGCACAATTACTACTGTACTAAATAAAGAATACATGACACTTACCTTTATTGAAGATCTGGTGATGACTGATGGGATGGGAGGAGGGGAGATGGTGGAAGTTGTTATTGTTTGGAAGGGGAATCCCCTTCCATGAGGACTTGAGGTAGCAATTCCTTTTCTGGGGTTACTTCCCTTCTTTTAATGCCACTGGGAACAACCTGAGAGTCACTGGACCTCTGTTACACCAAAAATCTCTCCATAGAGCTCTGTACCTCGTATTCCTTTAAATTATTGCTAAAGTAGTTCACAACATTGTCATTGTAAAAGTCACCAGCACGGCTTGCAATAGCTGTGTCAGGGTGATTTTCCTCCATAAAGGTTTGCACATTTGACCACACTACACATTTCCTTAATCGTTGAAGAAGGCAACTTCCTCAATTTCTCTCACCCCACCTCTGAAGCAATTCCCTCAGTTGTGGCACCTTTTGCAAGAAAATCTTCCTTGATTGCCATTTTGCTGGCCAAGATAGTAGTGATGATTGATTGGGGTTTGGTATACAACTTGGCCAGCTCCAAGACATCACTCCACTTTCGTACTTTGCAGTTATCTCTTTTTTCATTTCCATACTAATTCTCACCCTTTTTACCACAGGGTTGGCACTAGAAGCTTTCTTGGGGCCCATGGTGACTTCTTTTGCAGTTTTTTTTTTTTTTTTTTTTTTTTTTTTCAACAAGTCGGCCGTCTCCCACCGAGGCAGGGTGACCCAAAAAAAAGAAAGAAAATCCCCAAAAAGAAAATACTTTCATCATCATTCAACACTTTCACCACACTCGCACATTATCACTGTTTTTGCAGAGGTGCTCAGAATACAACAGTCTAGAAGCATACACATATAAAGATACACAACATATCCCTCCAAACTGCCAATATCCCAAACCCCTCCTTTAAAGTGCAGGCATTGTACCGAATGTATCTGTAGATACGACCGCACTGGGTAGCTTGTGAACACTGGCACCCATGGGGCAGCTGAGGCGAGCTCAGGCCACACGTGGACAGGTCCCAGACGAATCATGTTGGGCGAGTTTTTTATCGTTAGGCAGGGCAAAATATTTATGCTCAAATCCTTCGTTAGGCAGATTTAACATTATGCGATGTGTTCATTAGGCGAGGGTCCAATGTAACTTCCTGGTATCTCACTATGTATTACTTCCGGTATACACAATTATATCCAATACAAGACACTAACAATAACAAAGCACAAACAACTTTATACCAAAGCGTTTCCTCTTGCCTGGTATGTACTGCTTGAATGAGAGCCTTCCTTTGAACAGAATCAAAGACTCATCAATAACAAGCTTCCTGAAGGGATAAAAATACATATTGAATTTCTATTTCAGATACACAAACACATTCCTAATCTTATATAACCTGTCGTTTCTGTCAGGCCTGGTTTTGTCTGAGAGGTGAAGCATGTGTAATAGTAGCACAAATCGATTCACTCCTATTATATCACTGAAACCTGAGGTTGCAATCAGGCGGTCTGTTGACCAGTATGATTTCACACTGTGCTTATACACATGTGGCATAAGCATTATTGTGGCAAACAAAAGATACATCTCGGCCACAGTTGTCTCCTTCCACTGGTGTAGGCATGAGTTTGGTGAAAGTATTGTGTTTGCCATGGTGTAATCGAAGTATCTGTTGCTTTCCCTGACAATTTCCATCAGGGGTTCATCAAAGAATAACTCGAAACATTCCAGCTCAGTGGCATTGTTCCCAAGTGTACAAGATTGCCGTATTCCACTTTGGGTTTCATCAAACTGATGGGGATTTGGAACAAAATTGGCAGCTTCCTCCCAATCCCAGGTGCAGTCTGCTGGTGTGTACTGGATATGGACAGGTGGTTGTTGTTGTAGAGGTTGTGGTTGTGGAGGCTGGTGTGGTGGGTGGGTGGGGGATGGTGGCCTTTGTTGTAGATCAGCTGAGGCAGTGGCGTGGGTGGCAGCATGGCCCACTGCTGGTGCCTCACAGCGGCACCACCACTACCATGCATATTTTCCATCCCAATTGCAACACTATCATCTTCATTTTCATGGTATGTACTCCAAGATGTACTCCTTCCCCTTGGAATAGCATATGGCACACTACCAGAGCGCATATACCGTCGTATATACTGACGCTTCACTGGAGAATATTCCACTTCACTATCGCTACTGGAAACGTTTTCAAGAGCATGTAGTTCAGTCACTGTCACTATCACTATCATCACCAATGCTTATACCTGAGTCTGGGATATGGGAAAATAGGAGTTTCCTCTTTGGTTCTGGTACAATTGAACATGAACAAGACGGCCCAGCATCAGAGGTGGAAGGCTGAGAGTCATCTGGGTTTTCCTCGCTATTACCGGTATTATGGTTATTAGTTTTGGTCACAATCTCATCAGAACCTTGAAACTCATCTTCACTGGCACTTCCATCTGTATTAGAACTGTCACTGGGGAACAAAAGTGTCCCAATTCACCGAGGGGTGAGGAGTTTCTTACCACGAGGCATGGTGAGCAAGGTGTACTAAAATGGCGTTCCCACAGTGCACCACTGGGTCCCAGAATTTTTTTCTACTGTGCACACTCACCACGCAGACCCATTCTCTCACAGCTAGGCCTACCAGCTGTTTCCCGCTTAATTTGAAGCCGCTAGAATTTACGCGTACTAGTACGGCACCAACCCTAGTGCGCAAGCCGTACTAGTACGGCACCAACTCTGAAAGGGTTAAGTGTCCAGAATATCTGCACTGTATTCTGGACCTTATTTTGAAATAGGCATCCCTTGAAATTTTTGTGAAATTGGCCAAATTACCAATTTCTGGTCATTTTTTTAGGTGGTTGAAATATGTAAATGGGCTGTTTCTTATACTCAATTGACAGAATAGAAGAAATACTAGTAAAATAGCTATGAGTTTGGTCAACTGGAACAATGGAATTGGCCAAAAATAAGGTATAAAGTGGGTGAAATCGCCAAGACTCCTAACTTTGAGACTAATTCTGTAAGGTTCCGTCAAATTTCATACTTTTGGTTTTATTACCTTCAGAAAGAGATTCTCGATCATTTCATAAGATAAAATGACTTTTCTTTTGAAAATTCTTCGACACTGGGTGCAAGTTTGCAAGCAAGGGTCATGACAATGAAAAGGTTCAAGTTTGTGCCATCTGGGGAAAGAATTGACCAAAGCTGGGCAATGACAGGAAAGAAAGCCAGAGTTGGCTTGGAAAATAGAAATGTAAACAAGTTCCAACCCAAGTCAGCAGTCAGTGTCCCTCCAGAACTGTACACTATCCATAAAGTGGAGAGATGGAACTAATGAATGGTGTACCCAGCAGGCAAAATTTAAGGACAAGCATTTCAGGAAGGGGAAGGAGCCTGTCTGGGTATTATTGTAGTACAGTATATTTTCATATTTATAAATAAAAAAAAATGCAAACATATTTATTACACAGAATTATCTTGGGTTCTTACTCTTAAAGTGAAGTGTCCTCCAATGACAGTGAAGGAAGTATAGATGTAAACACCAGTCTGAGCAATTAGTAGAAGGATGTTGTCCAGCTCTATCTCTCCATCTGGTACAAATTCTAATTCTCGCATCTGTATCATCCCTATAACCACGGTTACAGTTGCAACACTGATGATCATTATGAAAAGGAAGATAGTCATATCAGTACTTTAGTAGTTTATTATATGTAATAATTAGACAGTAGTATTAGAGAGAGTGGTTACAAATCATGGATATACAGAAGATGGAGTAGGTAAATTTACTTATTTTAGTCACAAAGTGTTAAGCAGACTAGCTAGACTCAGTTGCTCATAGTATCACTATAAATTTTCCCTTGTGTTTACTTTTTTATTAGGTTATGCTCAAACTGGAGGATTATCATACTTAGTATTCCGTTACATTTACTTTACCTTCAGACTGGCCTTTTAATAACTACTGCTTTCACATTTTCCATCCATTATTCCCTACATGTGTGTTTTGTTTGCTTGTTTCCTAATGTTCTTACTTTTTTAATACAAGAGAGTAGCAATTATACTGTACTCTACATATGTAATTGTCAAGCCAGTAGGTGAAATGCTATATTAAATATGCAAAATTCTTATAACAACAACAACAACAACTTACTACAAGTATGCATTAACTACATATTTTATAAAATTATAGTTAATTCCAAATTATGATTTTTTTAAAAAACTTTGGTTAATCTCCTAAAAATATATATTTAGTATACAGTACAAGTAAAATATTTCTTACCCATATACAGAAAGTTCGATGATACTAGCCTCCAATATTGCTAGAGACTTGTAATCTTCATTGTTGATAAGCACAAAAAATAGAATCAGGGAGATGATGGTAAGCACAAGGACAAGGATGCCCATAAAAAGACCACGATTAGCATGAGCACAATCCACCGAGTAATGATGGCGGGCTTTACGAGCTACATAAGTGGAAATGTCCGAATCCCCATCATAAGCCACTTCAGGTTTGTTGATGTTCTTCCAGATCACATAGAGGACACCTTGTGAAATTTAAATAAGGTTTTATAAAAAATAAAAAATAGACAAAAGGGAAAAGATTAGTGCATTGAAAACTATGTAATGAATGGATATTAGTTTAGCCAAAGTACAGTATGTATTATGTGAAATCAACATTCACTAATATAGTCAACTCACCAGCACAAAGTAGAGAGTACTCAATAGTACAAGGGAAGAGGAAGGGAGATGCATTATCGACAAGCTGACCCATGAGTTGAGAGCGACGACATTCATAGATACTAAATGCTCCATCATTAGAGCTTCTCCTAACAATTTTATGATTATCACCTGATCCTGATGCCTGTAAGCAAGCATACTGAATTAATTTTATTGAAGGCTCTGGCCAAAAACACAGGTTCAATGTTCTATCTTGCATAAAGAAAATCATGGTTCGAGAAAAAAAAAAAATGGTCCAGGCCAAAAAATTACGTTAAAACGTTCTTACAAAATAGATAGTACACAATAATGCAGGTCATAATGGATGTCAGTACTTTTGGGGGTAATGTTTAGTGGATTTTTTTTTAAATTTTGAAAGTAGCAGCCATATAAAAAGATTTTTATGTACTTATATGGAGACCAAGAATAAAAAAAAACTTTTTATGATATACTGTAACTTCCTTTAGAACAAATTTGTTGCAGTGATTCAGATATTGCAACCAAAAATTTGGTAGAGCACTTCAATCTTGATTTACATGCTGTAAAGCATGAAACAATGAGTTGTGTGAAATTTTATTTACTACCCTCCACAGATTTCCATGAGTACTACATACAGTGGGATGTCTCCCTTCCAACCCAATGCCTTCCATTTTTATTATTATATTAATGAATGACAAAAGAAAAAATAGTTAACATGTTTCCTTTTTTTTCCTTGGGTCATATTGCCCTGGTGAGAGATGGCCGATGTATTAGCTATGTACGTACGTATTAGGTTCAGTTCTACATGAACTGCTACGCAAACTATAAGCTTCTCAGACAATAACACAATCAAATTGCTATTCTCTCTAAATTCTTACAAGATAAAATACCAGTGTGCATTATCTGTTAACAGATTTTGTTTTTATAACTATAAACAATATTTCAGAGACTTTTTCAATAGGCTGAGAACAGGTAACCAATATTAAAACTAGTAAAAATAATATATATAAAAAAAGATAATGCAGTACCAAATGAACAGCATTTAAATCAGGAACATGTGGTATATGATGAGAATCATTTATCACATGATGTAATGTGTTGTCATCCATGATGTCATGAGGTTCATCCGCATGGTGGCCCAAGACAGCCTTTAAATCTCCATGATTATCTTCATGGTGAGCTGGTGTCTTGGGGTGACCTGTCATATTAAGAGTATATATAAGACATACATAAGAGGTATACATCCCACAAAGACAATATATTAACAAATAAGAATGCATGTAACATGGAAATGATATTAACTCACCTGAATAACAATGGCTTGTATAATTCTAGGTAACAACTAAAAGCATATTTCTTTGAACATCTGTTAATATTTTGAGCAGCATTAAATTTATTTATCCAGAATAACCTGCAGTACCCATATTTTTTAAAAAAAATTTCAAAATGTTTGTCAATTTTTTTATTAATAAAGAATAATGAAGTATTTACTGAAAGTTTTCACTTATGTTAGGTGGCATCTAACAAGAATTTTCTTTTAAATATATTTGAAATCTTTCAGAGATGACAGTGATAAGTTTAAACATACCATACTCACCAGTATTCCAAAAACAATCCAACACTTATGACAGTGAACATATTATTAATACAATTTGTTAAACCAAAACCTTACTGACCAACATATACCACATTACTCCCAAAGAACATTGATGCACATGCTAATGACTATCAGAGCAGTTTCCTAAGTATAAAGGACAACATACATGCATAACTGATAGTATATACATTACAACTTCTGAAATGAAAAATAGCCCATATTAAAAAACTTGCAAAGGGAATTATGTACTGGATATTATACAGCAGATTGTCAATTAACACTTTTCCTTTAACATGTTTTCTCCATTACACTAGTGCAAAATTGCAGCATATTTTAGACTAACTTCATAAAAATCAACTAACATGGTGCCACATCTGGGAAAAAAATTTGGATCACTGAGTTGGACTGAGGGATTTTTTCCTCCTCTGTCTAGTAGACTCCTGGGTGGCCTGCCTGTGGGTCAGTCCATTGCCTTTGTGGGGGAGGCCAAGCTTCCCCTGCCTCCCCCGTCCCACCTCTCATTAGTCCGTACATACATATCCCATATGATTCTCAGATCTGTGTTTGTGATTAAATTAATTGATTCCTGCATACCAGTCAATACATGCAATGTTGTCATATCAATATGTCTAAGGGCAATGTGTGTTGTAAATATTATGCAGAGAATTCATAATGTGAAAATTAGGAGGAGGTTTGGTCATTTAGAGAGGATGGAGCAAAATAGGACGACTTTAAAGTGTATAAATCTGTAGTGGGGCGAAGGAGGGGTAGGGGTTGTTCTAGGAAAGGATGGAGGGAGGGGGTAAAAGAGGTTTTGTGTGGACATACAGCAGGCATGTGTGAGCATGTAAGATAGGAGTGAATGGAAACGAATGGTTTTTGGGACCTGACAAGCTGTTGGAGTGTGAGCAGGGTAATAGTATGTGAAGGGATTCAGGGAAACCGGTTAGCCAGACTTGAGTCATGAGGTGGGAAGTACAATGCCTGCACTTTAACCCGTAAACGGTCCAAGCAGATCTACGTTCACATGTGTAGTGCTCCAAGAGTAGATCTACATTTTTTTGACATATTTTCAAATATAACAAAAAAAAAAAAGGTAAATCAAAAGTTTTTTTACACATTTTCAAATGTAAAAAAAAAAAAAAAAAAAAAAATCTACTTTTTCTTACATACTTTCAAATGTTGAAAAAACGTATATATATGTTTGGACCGTTTACGGGTTAAAGGAGGGGTTTGGGATACTGGCTGTTTGGAGTAATGTCTAAACTGTCATGTCTGGGCACCTCTGAAAAGAGTGATATTATGTGAATGATGGTGAAAGTGATTCTTTCTTTTTTGGGGTCACCCTACTTCAGTGGGAGACGACCAATGAGTTAAAAAAAAATATACTATATGCAAGTGATATGATAGCTGATAGCAGATGATAGCCTGTCATATTTTGACACGTGTATTGTACAGAATAACATCAGTACATGCTAAGGTGCCAAACAAGGATGAGTGCTAGAAATCTAAACAAGACCACCTCCAAGCCATCACAACTAATGCAGGAGTATCTAGCATCAACGTACAACCTTTACCTAGCCAAGTATAAAGTGAAAAAAAAAGAAAAAAATTCAGATAGTATACCTCTACATTTGTACTAGAGCTATATGAGAGAGTGGGGAGGGGGAGGGGGAGAAGTGCACAAGTTATATCTTTTGCTCCTGAAACATAAAACCATTACTGATATGATTATGACATTCAAAATACTTCAGAGCATAAAGAGGGTAGACAAGGACAGACTCAAGGAGAAGAGAAACAGAACAAGGGAATACAGATGAAAAAAGCTTCCAGGAAGCAATTCTTCAACACACTAGTAATAAAGAGGTAGGTAATGACAACAGAGCCTGACTTCATGCTATAGTCCAAATGTAAACATGTATACAGTATCCAAGTCACAAATTAAAAATTAGAGTTGTCTAGCTGCTGCTCACCCTTCATCCATCTCTCCCCTTTCTTCTTAATTACTAATTAAACACAAATAATCACAATACATGATACGCACACGAGATGAAGTGTAATGGTGCTCTGTACATGTTCTGCTGTGTTATTTCTATAACATTATTCAATGAAATATTTATAGGATACCTACCAACGATTGCTTTATATTTCTGATAGTGCAGATAGTTTATGAATACTAGAATTTTGTGTGTGACAGTTTATTGAATACTGTACTACATTTACTTGCTCATCTACTTATTCTGTAGCAATGTTACTTGAGTTAGTTGTATCCCAGGAACTAAACCTTAATTATAGAGTCATTTCCTCTAAAACAAGCAAATATACCATATACCATACTTTCCCTAAAACTCCACAATTGCAGGTATTATAGTTAATAAAGGCAGGAAAAGGTACAACACAGAGTGCAGCTTTAGCAGTTATATGTGAAATCATCAGTGTTATATTTAGCAGGTAGGCATAATTGGCACAGTGATAATTTAAAATTATTCATACAATTTCCTGGCTTTTACCCTGCAGTTTCAACCGTCCAGTAAGAACCAATACCTTCACCTCATTATAATTATATAAACTTACTTGCCCCTATGACCTGTAGCCAGAGATTTCCTGCAAAGTAAGACTTAAGTTTTTATATAGGATACCTAATCTAATCAGGCCTTTATCCTGGATATAAAAAACATGGAAGAAAAAGCAATGCTTTAATATTTACATAAACTATAATTAAGTTAAAAAAACCGAGCACCATTTTTATAAGTACTATGGTATATACATTTGCAATTGTATTTGTGAATCAGATTTTTATTATATTTAAAAATGGATAATCCCATGTTTGTCATTCAGAGCTGTTTATCAAATACTATAAGAAATGCAAATCTACACATGATTCAATGCATTTATCCTGTTTACTCTACATCATACACCTGTATGAAGTTACCTCTATTTTCATTGGTCGCTTAGAAAGCAAAACTGAATTAGATTACATGAAACCTGAAAAATACAAGTCATAATAATGTTGCTGGAGCAATTTACAACTACACAACCTACAAATTGAAAATTTAACTATATGACTCTTTTGGTACATAAAATTTACAGGTTAGTTGTGTACTGTATATGAAATTAACATTAAGGGCAAATTGAAGCACTCATAAAATGGCACCCAAATAAAATTAGATACTACAGTTGTAAGTAACACAAGGCACCAATAGCTAATATCTAAATATATATTAATCATGTCTTAAATTAAAGAACCTAAGAAGCATACATTAGAGCTGTTTTTAATTAAAGCTAGAGTGGCTTGATTTACTTCACTAGAACTTAAGCACTGCATAAAAGTAAAATACTGTATTATATAAAGTCAAAGTGCCTTATATTAGGTACTAATTATATTTATGTTTTAGTCATTTACCAGATTTTTAAATTTTAGGATTCATTTAACTCATGCTATGATAAAAGAATTACCAGAAGATTTACCCCTCTAAGAAAAACTGAAATATAGTTAGGAAAATTCTTAGATAGGCTAAGCAATTTATTTTTATATTATGTAAATATTAGCATAGTTAGGCTAGGTTGCTATTTTGCTGAAAAATATAAAAAAATTAACATAACTATATTTCACTGTTTTCCTTGAGAATAAATCTTCAAATGATCCAATAAATGTTTTATGATCAGGTGAGATGCATACTTTGGTCTGCAAGATAAACAGTAAAATGAATTAGAATAGTTCATACCAAACAGTGGTTGTACAGAATTAGTGAAGTAATAATTTCTTAAGGTACCATATACAAGGCACTTAAGTTACAATACACTGAGTTTAGGAGTATGACATGTCATTCAAGTTATGATTAGTACCTGTGATTTACCCATGGTCATAGGCAGTGAGCCTTGTTTAGAAAAATCACTACTGCATTACTAGCAATTTCAAGTGTTCATTTAAAATTATTGTAAAGGAAGTGGGTATTCCACGTAGACCAATCAGCAAAAAGTGATGGAGGCTTAATTCTCCATCACCTAATGATTGCAGAAGACATGCTATCTAACTGTACTCACCTGTTTACAAAAAAATTGCGAACATTTTAATAAATTAGATTACAAAAGGCCTTTTTTAATACAAGAATATTTTAACTATAAACGAACACAGTTAAATATGTAAATATATATGGTACTTCTTATTCTTTTTAGTAATTATTACAGGAAAAGGCGATTATGTGTGAGCGAGGTAAAAGTGTTGAATGATAATGAAAGTATTTTCTTTTTGGGGATTTTCTTTCTTTTTTGGATCACCCCCCTTCGGTGGGAGATGACCTATTTTGTTAACCCGTAAACAGTTCAAGCAGATCTACGTTCACATGTGTAGTGCTCCAAAAGTAGATCTACGTTTTTTTACATATTTTCAAATATACCAAAAAAAAAGTAGATCAAAGTTTTTTTTACACATTTTCAAATGTAAAAAAAAAAAAGATCTACTTTTTTTACATACTTTCAAATGTTGAAAAAACGTATATATACGTTTGGACTGTTTACGGGTTAAAAAAAAATATATACACTACTCTATTCTATCAATAATTAACAAAATACAGAAGAACTAACATATCTTCTTTTGTCTAAGTTACTGTAGACCACCACCTTTCTTGCCTCCATCTACTGCATTTTGACCTATCTATTTCCTCCTTTCACTGCAAAAGTTCCCCACCTTTCATGGCAGCTACCTTTTTCCACCTTGATGTGGCCAGCTAACAAGGTGGCATAGGCAAGAAAATCAGTTCCCTTCCCACACCACTACTAGTTGCCTCATGGACACTTAAAATTTGACTGCTTGCTTGCTCTTGCTTGCTTGCTCTCTCTCTCTCTCTCGCTCTCTCTCTCTCTCTCTCTCTTGCTCTCTCTCTCTCTCTTGCTCTCTCTCTCTCTCTTGCTCTCTCTCTCTCTCTCTCTCTTGCTCTCTCTCTCTCTCTCTTGCTCTCTCTCTCTCTCTTGCTCTCTCTCTCTCTCTCTCTCTTGCTCTCTCTCTCTCTCTCTTGCTCTCTCTCTCTCTCTTGCTCTCTCTCTCTCTCTCTCTTGCTCTCTCTCTCTCTCTCTCTCTCTCTTGCGCTCTCTCTCTCTCTCTCTCTCTCGCTCTCTCTCTCTCTCGTGTTATCCCATTTATTTTTTTTATCACCCCATTGTGTCTGGATATTAATCGTTGTGCCAAAAAGGAAATCTATTGTTGGTGAAGGTGCCAAGAAGTTTAAGCATGAAACTATGCCTCTAGTGGATAAAATAGAGGTAATAAATATACTGAAAGGTGGTGCATGTACGACTGATGCAGTCCCAGCCTGTGGTGCGAGGGAAATTAACAATTTGTTCAATTTGAGACGATGAGAAGGTAAGAACTTGTGTGATAAGGAACCCAAATTGTGACCTGTTGAAAAATGGTAATGCAGTCAATACAGCTAAATAAAACTGAAAAAATGATGAGTGACCAGATTTTGCAAGAATTTAAAATGAACAGGAAAGGAAGCCTGCAAACAGGTGAACCTTTAGTCATGGATCGTTTAATCATTTTAGAGTGCACAGTAAGCTTCATAAGAAAGCTTATTGGTGAGAATGGTTCTGCTGACTACAGTGTAGTAGAGAATTTTCCTACTCCGTTGGAAGAAATTATTTCTGAGAGTGGTTATGCACCTGAGAAGTGTTCATTCCTGACAGGTTTATTCTGGAAAATGTTGTAGTATACACAGACTTTGCAAAAGCTTTCGACAAGTGTGACCATGGTGTAATAGTACACAAAATGCGGGATAAAGGAATAACAGGGAAAGTTGGTAGATGGAACTACAACTTCCTGACGAATAGAACACAGAGTAATAGTAAACAGAGTAAAGTCCCAGGCAGCCATGGTAATAGGCTCTGTTCCACAAGGCACAGTACTCGCTCCCATTCTATTCCTCATCCTCATTTCTGACACAGACAGATGTAAGCCATAGCTCCGTGTCTTCCTTTGTGGATGGCACCCGGATCACCATGGCAGTGACCTCCATCGAAGACACTGCGAGACTTCAAGCAAACATCAACCAAACCTTCGAATGGGCCACTCAAAACAATATGAAGTTCAACGAGGAGAAATTTCAACTACTCAGATACGGAAAACGAAGAAATTAAAAATGTGTCAGGGCATACCACAAATTCTAACCATACAATAGAGCAGAAAAATGTGAAGCACCTGGGAGTGATAATGTCAGAGGATCTCACCTTCAAAGACCACAACAATGTATCTACCTCATCCGCTAGGAAAATGATAGGATGGATAATGATAACCTTCAAAACTAGGGACGCCAAGCCCATGATGATTCTCTTCAAATCGCTTGTGCTCTCTAGGATGGAATACTGCTGTACACTAACGGCCCCCTTTAAGGCTGGCGACACTGCAGACCTGGAGAGTGTACAAAGAACTTTCATGGCACACAAGTGCGATAAGGCACCTAAACTACTGGGAAAGGTTGAAGGTCCTTGATCTGTATTCCCTCGAACGCAGGCGAAAGAGAGATGCATGATAATATACACTTGGAAGGTCCTGGAAGGATTGGTACCAAACCTGCACACGAAAATCACTCCATATGAAAGCAAAAGACTCGGCAGGAGATGCAACATTCCCCCGATGAAAAGCAGGGGTGCCACGACAACACAATGAGTGTCTGAGGCCCAAGATTGTTCAATTGCCTCCCAGCATACATAAGGGGGATTACCAATAGACCCCTGGCTGTCTTCAAGAAGGCACTGGACAGGCACCTAAAGTCAGTACCTGACCAACCGGGCTGTGGTTCGTACGTCAGCTTGCGTGCAGCCAGCAGTAACAGCCTGGTTGATCAGACCCTGATCCACCATGAGGCCTGGTCTCAGACCAGGCCGCAGGAGCATTGACCCCCGAAACCCTCTCCAGGTACATCGGCCTCAGCCATTGAACACCAGCCCCCCCACCTCATCTGGGGTCCAGTAGGGCCACACCAACCCTCTCCACTGATGTCAAACCACTTAAGCATCAACAACCAAAATTTAAGGTAAGTACAGTGATATTATATTCACATTGTTTGACTATTAGATTATGCTAGGTTAAATCATCCTGTATTATACTGTAACATCATGCTTTAATGTGCCCATAACATTCATGTGCCTTTTAAAATCATTGTACAATACCTAGTTTATTATTTTTGGTGAATTATAAATTTAAACTAAGAGTTACTTTTTTTTTTTGAGGATGCATAGAATGTAACCCTATTTTTTCACACAAGTTGTTAACTCCATCCATCATGTTTTCCCATTTAGCTCCATTTTTCTGGAGTGTAATCCATGTGCAAGGTGGTTGTTTACTGTATATAAATTATGTGGCACAATACAAGGCTGTGATATAAAGTACATCTCAAGCAAAGTACTGTAGCTAAAACAATACCACAAACTAACTCATCTGAAGTGTTGCTTATTGGGAACCTTGTGTTTAATTTAACTACTGAATCATTCTCAGCATTTCTTTAAAACTGCTTCTTACCTCCACCATGATGCCCATGGCCAAGTGTCAAGTTTATAATTTCGTGCTTTGTTTCTTGAACGAGGACATTCAGCCATATACAGAGATTAGTTCCAATCATGTGCATTAAGCCAAATCTTGCAATAATGCGATGGCGGCTAATAGCAACCTGAAACAGACCTTTATTCAATTAACAAAATATATAGTCTTATGTGTATAAAGACATGCACAGTTGATGACATTTATTAAAGAAATGTTTTGCCATGAATAGTATATTCAGTCCTAATGACTAGGACTAAATATGCCACTCGTGGCAAAACATTTCCTCAATAAATGTCTTAGAGAGAGAGAGAGAAAGAGGGAGAAAAAGAGGGAGAAAGAGGGAGAGAAGAGGGAAAAGAGGGAAAGAGGAGAAAAAGAGAGAGAAAGAGAGAGAATGAGAAGAGAGAGAAAGAGAGGAAAGAAGAGAGAAAGAGAGAGAAAGAAGAGAGAGAAAGATGAGAGAAAGAGAGGAAAGAGAGAGAAGAGAGAAAGAGAGAGAAAGAGAGAGAAAGAGAGAGAAAGAGAAAGAGAGAGAGAGAAAGAAAGAGAAAGAGAGAAAGAGAAGGAGGTGCATTTCCTACTTAAATCGCTTGACCAAGAAAAGGCTGTGGGCCCAGACAAGTTGAGCCCAAGATTGTTGAGAAGATGTGCAGACCAGCTAGCAGCACCTCTAACTCGCATCTTTCAGCACTGCCTAGTACAGTGTAAATGGCCCTCTCTATGGAAAGAGGCAAATGTAGTCCCTGTTCACAAAAAGAAGAGCAGAGCAGAAATCAGCAGCTACAGACCAGTGTCACTCCTGTCAATCACTGGTAAGATCCTTGAGACAATAATCTCAAGACAAATGACAGATTTTTTTGACTACCACTCACTACTTTGTGATCGTCAATATGGCTTCAGGAAAGGTTACTCTGCTGCTGATCTGTTGTTAAACCTCTCCACTAAGTGGCACCAGTCACTGGATGAATCCAAAGTCAGCTGTGTGGTAGCACTGGACATTGCTGGCGCTTTCGACCGGGTGTGGCACCAGGGCCTCTTAGCAAAGCTTCAAGCACTGGGAATTGCAGGCTCTACGCTATGTCTCCTCAGTGATTACCTTCATGGTAGATCTCTAAGTGTAGTCCTCAATGGAGCGGAATCAGCAAGGCATCCTATTGGGGCAAGCGTTCCACAAGGAAGAGTGCTGGGTCCACTGTTATGGAATGTCTACTTCAACGACCTTCTTCATCTCATCCCAGAATCACATGCATATGCAGACGACTGTACACTGACATTCACTTATCCAAGAGAAGAAATGCCAGCTGCTCTAAGCTACATCAATCACCAGCTGAGAGCTATATCAGCTTGGGGAAATAGATGGCAAGTAACATTTGCACCTGAGAAAACGCAAATGATGATCGTCTCTAGGCACCATGATGGTAATGCTGGTGCAGTAGTAAGGATGAATGGGACGATGTTGGCACCTGGAGAAGAAGTTGATATCCTTGGGGTGAAATTTGACTCCAAACTAACCATGAAGAACCATGTTGTAAATCTTGCAAACAAGGCCGCCAGGAAGCTTACAGCACTTCGCCGTATCTCGCATCTGCTTGACAGTAGGGGTTGCAAGATCCTGTACGAGGCACAAGTACGCTCACACCTTGAGTATGCTCCACTTTCTTGGTTGCCTGCCCCCCCCTCTCATCTGCGACTGCTTGACAGAGTAGAGAACAGAGCAAGACATCTCATCTCTCGCCTGGACCCATCCTGGATAGATCTGTCATTTCAGCAGAGCCTTCAACATAGGAGGGATGTGGGTGGCCTTACTGTTATGTACAAGGCCAATATTGTCAAAATACCACACTTGGATCCACTTCGAGGACAGCGTGAAACAAGCTTTTATGCCACAAGACGGGCAGAAAGCAGCAACTTCACTCTGGCTGTACCCTTCTCCAGAACATCACTCCATCTGAGATCATACATACCCAGGATGACTCGAGTATGGAACACATTCGTACAGCATAATGATATCAACGAGATAAAGTCAGTTGATCAAATGAAAATGCTGGCCCACAGATGGCTCCAACTTCATCCTGTCCCATACTTGTATGTCTCATAACAATAAAAATGCTTTCAAATGAGCTGATGTAGGTAACAGCTCTTAGCTTGCCAATAAAGTTAGGAATCCTTAACCTGTAATATAGCTGTCAATAAAGCTAGGGATCCTTAACCTTGTCAAACCCTGTGTAAGAAAGAGAGAGAGAGAGAGAGAGAGAGAGAGAGAAAAGAGAGAGAGAGAGAGAGAGAAAGTGAGAAAGAGAGAGAGAGAAGAGAAGAGAGAGAAAGAGAGAAAGAGGAGAAAGAGAGAGAAAGAAGAGAGAAAGAGAAGAAGAGAGAGAGAGAGAGAAAGAGAGAGAGAGAGAAAGAGAGAGAGAGAGAAAGAGAAGAGAGAGAAAGAGAGAGAGAGAGAGAAAGAGAGAGAGAGGAGAAAGAGAGAGGAGAGAAAGAGAGAGAGAGAGAGAAAGAGAGAGAGAGGAGAAAGAGAGAGAGAGAGAAAGAGAGAGAGAGAAAGAGAAAGAGAGAGAGAGAGAAAGAGAGAGAGAGAGAAGAGGAGAGAGAGAGAAAAGAGAGAGAGAGAGAAAGAGAGAGAGAGAAAGAGAGAGGAGAGAGAGAGAGAGTGTGTGTGTGTGTGTGTTGTGTGTGTGTGTGTGTGTGAGTGTGTGTGTGTGTGTGTGAGTGTGTGTGTGTGAGTGTGTGTGTGATGTGTGTGTGTGAGTGTGTGTGTGTGAGTGTGAGTGTGTGTGTGTGTGTGTGTGTGTGTGTGTGTGTGTGTTGTGTGTGTGTGTGTGTGTGTGTGTGTGTGTGTGTGTACACCTACATACTGCTGGTATCACCATACCTGTTCTCCAGACTACGTAGTCTTAAATGAATTTATTGTTTTGGTAAATATAAAAAAATTAAAATTTAAATTTGAATAAATTTAACTAGTCTTGGATTACAGTACACCAGTAATGATTTGTGAGATATGTAAAATCTAAGTGAAAAGTGCAACACATTGCCAAATTGATAATTTATTCTACAGAAATGTTAAAAGCAGGGGGGGATACAGTATTGGAGTGGTTGGTACTTTTGTTTAATAAATGTACGAAAGAGGGGAAGGTACCTAGGGATTGGCAGAGAGCATGTATAGTCCCTTTATATAAAGGGAAGGGGGACAAAAGAGATTGTAAAAATTATAGAGGAATAAGTTTACTGAGTATACCAGGGAAAGTGTACAGTAGGGTCATAATTGAAAGAATTAGAGGTAAGACAGAATGTAGGATTGCAGATGAGCAAGGAGGTTTCAGAGTGGGTAGGGGATGTGTAGATCAAGTGTTTACATTGAAGCATATATGTGAACAGTATTTAGATGAAGGTAGGGAAGTTTTTACTGCATTTATGGATTTAGAAAAGGCATATGATAGAGTGGATAGAGGAGCAATGTGGCAGATGTTGCAAGTATATGGAATAGGTGGTAAGTTACTAAATGCTGTAAAGAGCTTTTATGAGGATAGTGAGGCTCAGGTTAGGGTGTGTAGAGGAGAGGGAGAATACTTCCTGGTAAAAGTAGGTCTTAGACAGGTATGTGTAATGTCACCATGGCTGTTTAATATATTTATAGATGGGGTTGTAAAAGAAGTAAATGCTAGGGTGTTCGGGAGAGGGGTGGGATTAAATTATGGGGAATCAAATACAAAATGGGAATTGACACAGTTACTTTTTGCTGATGATACTGTGCTTATGGGAGATTCTAAAGAAAAATTGCAAAGGTTAGTGGATGAGTTTGGGAGTGTGTGTAAAGGTAGAAAGTTGAAAGTGAACATAGAAAAGAGTAAGGTGATGAGGGTATCAAATGGTTTAGATAAAGAAAAATTGGATACCAATTTGGGGAGGAGGAGTATGGAAGAAGTGAATGTTTTCAGATACTTGGGAGTTGACGTGTCGGCGGATGGATTTATGAAGGATGAGGTTAATCATAGAATTGATGAGGGAAAAAAGGCAAGTGGTGCGTTGAGGTATATGTGGAGTCAAAAAATGTTATCTATGGAGGCAAAGAAGGGAATGTATGAAAATATAGTAGTACCAACACTCTTATATTGGTATGAAGCTTGGGTTGTGAATGCAGCAGCGAGGAGACGGTTGGAGGCAGTGGAGATGTCCTGTCTAAGGGCAATGTGCGGTGTAAATATTATGCAGAAAATTCGGAGTGTGGAAATTAGGAGAAGGTGTGGAGTTAATATAAGTATTATTCAGAGGGCTGAAGAGGGGTTGTTGAGGTGGTTTGGTCATTTAGAGAGAATGGATCAAAGTAGAATCACATGGAGAGCATTTAAATCTGTAGGAGAAGGAAGGCGGGGTAGGGGTCATCCTCGAAAAGGTTGGAAGGAAGGGGTAAGGGAGGTTTTGTGGGTGAGGGGCTTGGACTTCCCGCAGGCGTGCATGAGCGTGTTCGATAGGAGTGAATGGAGACGAATGGTATTTGGGACCTGACGATCTGTTGGAGTGTGAGCAGGGTAATATTTAGTGAAGGGATTCAGGGAAACTGGTTATTTTTATATAGCTGGACTTGAGTCCTGGAAATGGGAAGTACAATGCCTGCACTCTAAAGGAGGGGTTTGGGATATTAGCAGTTTGGAGGGATATGTTGTGTATCTTTATACGTATATACTTCTAAACTGTTGTGTTCTGAGCACCTCTGCAAAAACAGTGATTATGTGTGAGTGAGGTGAAAGTGTTGAATGAGGAAAGTATTTTCTTTTTGGGGATTTTCTTTCTTTTTTGGGTCACCGTGCCCTGGTGGGAGACGGCCGACTTGTTGAGAGAGAGAAAAAAAAACCTACGTATCAAATAAAGTCTGTTATAGTGAAAAGAAACATTTAATATAAAAATACAAGAAAGCACTGGCTTGGTGAATGCAGATTAGTGGAACAAGCTCTCGAGTAGTGTTACTGAAACTAATGTCTTGGGTAGATTTGAAAGCAGGTTAGGCAAACATATGAGTGTCAATGGTTGGGTTTGAGTTGTACCTGAATAGAGAATGGGCTAGTAGGCGTACTGTAGTTCTCTTCTATTCCTCTTACATCATCCACAAAATATGCTATCATTATTACTCTTTACTTAACTGTTTCTTGCTAAGGTAGGGTGACCCAAAGAGGGTAACTCATTAACCATCATTCACTAGTATTATTATTAGAATGGGAAAACGCACACGAGAATAGATGCATTATGACATTATTTTGTTGCATTCATTGGCTCAGTTCTTACCAGGAAATCTTCCTTATCCAGCTGCTTGTATTTTTTCACCTATCTACCAACAAAGAAAGTTCCCATGTGTTCATTTATTCACTCAGTTTCTACAGGATTAACTTGGAATTCTTTTAAGCCTTTTTTTTTTTTTTTTTTGGGGGGGGGGGGGGGGGGGATGCCTTTATGTATTTGAAAACCTCTACCCATCAAACCAAAATAAGCAATGGGCATAACTAGCCAATATCAACCTGAAGCTTTGTATTATGATCAGACATTGTACATAAAAGTAATGCAAGATGGTATCATTAAATTATAAATCAATAATGAAAAAGTGTTGGGAAAAATAATGAAATAACAAAACAGGTAAACTACTCATAATCGACATTATGATTTATTTTATGAGCAAACATTAATATTTCAAGTTTCACAGCAATGTTAATCAAAAAAAAAAAAGCAGAATAAAAAAATACAGTAAAATGCATTAATTACCTCTACCAGGGTTACATAATTATAACATACTGTAGTTTTCAAAAAATAATCTATAACAAACCCTCGAGTTAAGGAAGATGAAGTACATCTGGATGAAAGTGAAGAGCATACGTGCAGCTGGGGATACAACAAGGAGAACATTTGCACAGTCATCATCTGCCTTCAGCTCAAAGTACTGCCCAACTTCAAGACCACTGTAGATCATACTGCCAATCCCAAACACTGTGGACATGACAATAATCCGCTTTTGTTATACTTTTATACACATGTAATAAAAAATACAATTATTTTCACGATGCTCTGATCAGACATACACTATTATACAAACAATTCTGAAATATGTATGCAGTGATAAATTTCTCCAGGATTACTGAAGATTTGGGAAAACAAAAGTATACACTTATGTATGTGTGATTATTTTGCACATCACACTGAAGGTGGACACATGAATGTTTCAGTTTATCATCATCAAAAGTGTCATTGAGAGAAACACATCTGAGCTACCTTTTCAGTGAAGGACCGAATCATGAATATAGATGTGGTGGGTAAAGAGACTTAGCTGTGTAAATTAAAATGCTTTGAAGAATGAAAAAACTATTTATGAAAGGTTCAATGAACTACTGTAGGAATAACTGGTATGTCTAAATACCTGAATTTCACCAGAAAATTGACTTCTCTGCCACCTTTAGCTAAGTCTGCTCAATGGATTATCATTGTCTCTAAAGCAATGGTTCCCAGACTTCTGCTGCTTGCATACTCCTTGATGCTCTATTATTAATTAACCCTTTCAGGGTCCGTGCCGTAGAGCTACGGCTATAAGTTGAGGGTCCAAACCATAGACCTACGCCAAAATTCTAGCGGCGTCAAATTTAGCCTGAGAAGGCCGGTAGGCCTACATCTGAGAGAACGGGTCTGCATGGTGTGTGTGCGCTGTAAACAAAAATTCTTGGCGCCCGCATGGCATTGTTGGAACACCGCCTCAGTAACCTTTGTTCACCATGCCTCGCCGCAAGGCAGCTCTCACTCCGATGCGAATTGGGACTCTCTTCTTAACTGATGGTTCTGACTCTGATGAAAGTGGAAAAGAAGAATTCTATGATTTTGTTTGATTACTGACCAAAAGCAATGACCAGGATATCGAAAATAGTGCAGAAAATCCTGACGCTCCTCAACCTTCTACCTCTGGTGTGGCCATGTCTCAGTCACATTCAGTTGTACCTAGTCACAAGAGAAAACTAATATTTTTGTGTGGCCAGGCTTCAGACCTCAGTAATGATGATGATAGTGATGTGGACTGTGATTTTATTGCTCTTGATGATCATTCAAGTAGTGATAGTGATGAATCGTATTCACCAGTGAAGGGTCGGTATATATGCCGCCGCATGCACTCAGTAGTGTTCCCTATGCAGTGTCCAGGGGATGGAATACATCCCAGAGTACATCCCATGGCCCTACACCAGGAATAGACAGTGAAAGTGAGGATGATGTGGCTACACTTGGCATGGATAGACCACAGGCATCAGTAGGTGGTGATATTGGTAGTGGTGGTGGTAGTAGTGCCACGGCCATGCATGACTCGCCAGCCCAGCTTGGATGACAGTTTACCTTTGAACAAAATCAAAGATTCGTCAATTACAAGATTCTTGAATGAATAAAAGTACATGTTGAAGTTTTGTTTCAGATACATAAAAACATTTCTAATCTTGTATAACCTGTCACTTCTGTCAGGCCTGGTTTTGTCAGAGAAGTGCAACATATATATAATAGTAAAATAAATCTGTTCACTGGGATGATTTCACTGAAGGCCAGGGTACAAATTAGCCGATCTGTGGACCAGTATGATTTTATATTATGCTTATAGACATGAGGCATAAGCATTATTGTTGCAAAAAGCAAATACATTTCAGGTACAGTTGTCTCTTTCCACCGGTGTAGTCTTGCTGTGGTGATATGATTGAATTTGCCATGGTGTACTCAAAATACTTGTTACTTTCCTTGACAATAATTTCCATCAAGGGCTGGTCAAAGAATAGCTCAAAGAATTCCAGTTCATTTGCAGTGTTTCCAAGAGAACAAGCTGGTAGGATTCCACTTTGAGAGTCATCAAACTGATGGGGATTGGGAACAAAATTGGGATTTTGCTGCCAATCCCAGATGCAGTTTGCTGGTGGATACTGGATATCATAAGCTGGTTGTGGTTGTAGTTGTAGTTGTGGTGTGGTGGTGGATGATGCTCTGCTTTGTCCTTGATCTGACGAGTCGGCGGCATGGGTCCCAGCCTGGGCTGGCGAGTCATGCATGACTGTGGCACCACCACCACCACCACTACCAATACCACCACCTACTGATGCCTGTGGTCTATCCATGCCAAGTGTAGCCACATCATCCTCACTTTCACTGTCTGTTCCTGGTTTAGGGCCATGGGATGTACTCTGTCCCCTGGGCACTGCATAGGGAACACTACCCAAGTGCATGCGGCGGCATATATACCGACCCTTCACTGGTGAATGTGATTCTTCACTACTTGAATGATCATCAAGAGCAATAAAATCACAGTCCACATCACTATCATCATCATTACTGAAGCCTAGCCAGCGAAAAAATTTGTTTTC